TGCACTGTTGTCATGCGCACGGAGATGTTTATTTTGAGAGACATTTTGCTAGCAAAGGTCATTAGAGGTTGTAATTGCGTGAATAAAGGGAATGCTGCTTCTCTATTACACTGTTGCTGTTTTTTTTCCAGTGAATTTGCTTGGTCTAAGGGCTGATAGCTTGTGGTTTGTAAAAAGCAGGACAGAGGTTGTAATTGCGTGAATAAAGGGAATGCTGCTTCTCTATTATACTGTTGCTGTTTTTTTCCAGTGAATTTGCTTGGTCTAAGGGCTGATAGCTTGTGGTTTGTAAAAAGCAGGACCATTTTATTTATTTATTTTTTGAGGTAGCCAGATCTGAAATAAACTTCCTCAGTGTAGTCAGGCTTTATCCTCAAATTCCATTTTATGTTTCTATTGACAAGAGCATTGTGGCAGACTGCTCCTTCTCTGGTTCTGATCATACCGTAAGCCTGTGTCCTGCTTGTCATATGTTGTGAAAATGCTTACTAGTGGTCATTCTGTAAGACTTGAGGACTTGGAGGTGCTGGTTTCTTGATGACCAGCCTTGCTTAGAAGTCAATCAGTAGTGGCCCAAATGAAACGCGGGTGAACGCTGGATTTCCTGTTTACTTTATCTTTTCTCATTAGCCTTTTGCAATGATTCTGGGCCCTTTTAAGGTACCCAAGATTGAGACAATTAGATTTATTTTTGAAAAGCAGGACTGCAGAAAAGTGATTGACGCAGAAAGTAAATTCCAGAATTCGGAAGAATGGAACATGAAAGAAAGAGATGTGGAGGCAAAGGAAAACCTCTGTGTGGCATGCCAGATCAGAGACATGTTGCTCAGGGGAATCTTCCTCGGAGAAGGGAGTCTGGCTTCCCTATGCACTGGGGGTGCAGGAGGCTGGCAGCTGGATCCCATTGTGGGACCTAAGGGTTCTGTGTGTAGTTCCCGGAGCAGCCTGTTAAGAGGGGAACAAGGGTTTAGGATGTGCTAGGAAATGTAGTCGGCCCAATTGATCAGGGATATATATGAGCAGGAAGAGAACTAGAAAGAGTCTGTAGGACTTCCTGGTAGAAAATGGAATGTCTTGCAGCACAGGTGATGGTGCCATCTTCTCTTCCTTCCTCCTGCAGTTAGGACCTTGGAAGGGAGAGATTCTGATTTTTGAACTGAGACAACCACAATGATGGACTTAGAGTACAGAGCAAGGGCTGGGAAGATTGTGTGTGTTTAGAGATGAACTGATCTGCTGAGGAGAAAATTTTATTACTCTTGTTTTTATTTGATTTATTTTGTTTATTTACTTATTTTCATTAGTATAAGAAATCTACTCCTAGAATTCAAAAACTAAGATTTCAAAAGGGTATATAGCAAAAGATCTCTTTCTTCATCTGCCCTTCTGCCAGCAGTCAGGAAGCAATGCTGTCAGTCTGTTTTGTATCATTCTAGAGTTGTCTTATGCATGGACAAGCATGTGGGTATATTCTTATATACATGTACATAAACACACACACACACATACATTCTTTTCCTTATTTTTGTACAAATATATGCTATTCTAGACCTTTATTTTTTTAATTTAGCAGACTTGGAGCTCTTCTCATACCAAATACATTGAAAAAACTTCCTCATTCATATTTATGTCTGCATATTATTCCACTATCTGACTATGCCCTAATTTATTTAATCAGTTCTCTTTCAATGGACATTTAGGTTGTTTCCAAATTTTTACTATTACAAATAATGCTGTAGTGAATAATCTTGTACGTGTGTGAGGATATTGAAGTGGAATTGATGGGTCAAGGGGTACACACACTTGAAATTTCGACGGATATTTCCAAATCGCCCTATATAGAGTACAGCAGTTATATTCCCACCAGCAATGTAATGTATACAAGTGCAAGGACAATATTAACCAGAGCATGAAAGAAGGAAGAGCGAGAAAAAGAACAAAGTAAAATTGCGAACAAGTTGAACAGGTAGGATGGGGTGGGAAAGACTGTGATTATGGGAGGTGCCCAGTAGTTTCACATAGAGAAAAATCATAAAAAAGAACTTTGATTGGCAAAGCAGGATTAGTAAAGCAGAACGGCAATTATAATCTCATAAATGTCACCTGGATTTTATGTTGTGGGACCCAAGAATGGGACAGAGCTACAAGAGGATCTACTCTGCCCTGTGAGAGAGAAACAAATTTATCAGGAGAAGGAGATAGGCTAGCCTAGCCGCAGAGGTAAAACATTATAAAGCTAAGTTGAAATACCAAGCCTGAGGATACACACATACTGGAAAACAGCAACAACATATGGTTAGGGAGAATTCAGGGAGAGTGGCCTGGAAGTGCTGCGGTACACTGAGCAGAGGGAGGAAAATACCTGCATTTGCAGTACAGATCCCCAACTGTTGCTGCAGACAATGGGCAGTAATAGCAGGCGGGAGCAGCAGCTACTCAGACAGCTCCTGAAGATCTCCAGCTGAGCACTCAAGTATTTGGAAGTTTGTTTGCTTGTTTATTTGTTTTTCTCATTGCTTACAGTCTACTTAGAGGGTAGAAAACAAAACTGGGAAAACTACCATTCTAGCTCTAATATTGAAGCCAAGGGAGATACTAGTTTATGAAGTAAAAGTGGTAGGTACCTTGAAAGAAAGTGGGCATGGTTACTTGAAAGTTCATGAAAGTGAGCAAGGGAAAAGCTGGGCATGGACAGGCATGCACTGTTGACTTTGGTAAATTATAACTTTGAAAGTTTAGAAATAAAATGGATGGGAACTCTAGAAGAGAAGATGACTCAGGAATATTGAACTGCTCGAAAATAATGTAATTCCAACTGTGCGATCTCATAAATAATACCAGTAAAAAGGAAGAACTGAGCGGTACCTTGAGAGAAACTAGTTTTCAAAGGCGCTTGTATGAAAGACAGAAAGGACGTAAACCAAGGACAAGTAAAAGTGTACCTGCATGACCAGTATCAGGAAGGGCAAGCTCCAAACAAAAGGACAATGCTGAGGACAATAGAAAGGCTTTTAAAATAAGATCAAAAAAAAGAATGGGCTTGATTCCACAGATGCCTCTGACTAGTACAGAGAACTCAGGACAGCAGTTCCCAAACTAATATAAATGAAAATTAAGGAATCAGGAAAATCAAGTGGTTCTAAAAAACTGGAAATGAACCATTTTCTTCTTGATTTTCAAAATGGCAAAAAAGTTAAATAGGTTCTATAAAATTTAGTCTATTGAGTTTGATTATAGGTCACCCCTATGATGGTGTGTGAAAAGCTAGAAGACAGGGTAGGAACCCATGTGCACTGAGAGTATGTCACGTCAGACTGACCTCATGGATTCGGTCAGGAATGTCTTGTGATGGTAGACCAGGTAAATCCACACTTCACTGAGGCACTGCAGAAGCATGGCTTGGGTTCATCTTGTAGACAGATGGAGGAATATAGGATGAGTGCTAGCATAGACATATTGGCATCTGAGTGCATTTAGGGTTGGGGACATATCATGTATAAGTGTGCCATGTATATATCACCTGTGCATGGTGTTGACATGTTAGGGTAGGGTATTTGGGTGGGGGAGTTGGCATGTGTAGCATGGACATGTGTGTAGCATGTTTCTGCTATTACTTTTGCTTGGGTGATGGGTTTCTTCTAGACTCTGTGTCTCAGATGTTACATGAAAGGATGGCCATCTAGTATGGCACAAAGGAGCTGTTGGGAGTTTGTTCAAACTGCAAGATGGGCTCATGGGTGGGGCAGGTCTCAGGAAAAATACCATGTCTTTTCATTACTGTGAAGAAAGTGGATGGGGCCTTGGGCAGTGACCACTGGGTGCCACCTGCTGCCCACCCCCTGAACACTTTCCTCCTTCTGTGGTGCTCTCTTTAGGAGTTCTGTGTCTGAGAGCTGACTGACCTTAAGTGCTTTTTTCTCCTTTCTTTTCCTTCCCACAGTCAGTTCTGAATGTGATCAGTGAGCTTCAGGAACAGATGTGTAGACTGCAGCTGGACATCCACAGGCAGATTCAAGAGCGCCCGTCACTCAGTAGGGACCACCCTGCAGAGGTGGTGGCTGGTGGTGATGCGGCTGAGCCCCAGCCCTGCAACCAGGACTGTGCCTGTTGGGAGGGGTCACCTGTAGGAACCACACTTAAGTATATCAGAGCATGCGTGTGTGGGGCATTGCACTGGTTGAGAGGTTGGGGTTTCTCCTAACCGGAACAGAGTGCGGTTGCTTAGCATGGATCTGTTATTACCTCCAGGCAGAGCTTAAACTCACTCCTCTCAGGATGTGAGGTGACCTCTGGGACCCTCACTGAGCAGGGTCGAGCAGGTGAGGCCAGCCCTCGGACAAGTAGCAGTACTCATTTGCCTTAGGGCTGGGAATGAGGTCTGTCGTGTGCTCTGTGTGTTGGGGAATTTGTGCAAAAGGAAGCCTCAAGATTCTTTTCTCCAGGTGTATGATTCAGATGCTGATTCCTTCTCTGGGGCTGGAAGATTAAGTAAAGCTTCATTTTGCGTGATTTTTTTTTTTTTTTTAGGAAGAAAAATAGCATCATGAAAAAGAATCCTTTCAAGCTTATTTTAAAGAGGTTTACCCCACTGAGGTTATAGAACACAAGTTTCCATTTGCAGTGAACAGTTAAGTCATCATCTGAATTTCCAGGAAAAATTCCCCCACACAATCACACCAGGGTGATTTCATGACCTCTGAGCCATGTGGAGTGTATCTGACCAGAATTCTGGACTTGGCCCTTCACGCTGGTGTGAGCTGGTTCCCTGTGCCTTTGCTGATGCCTGGTGAAAGTTTGTGCCTCCAACACCTACTGTTGAAAGGACCTGGAAGCCCAAAAGAAAAGCCAAGGTCACAGTAGCTATGAGCACTGCAGAGGGTACATTTGCTCTGCAGGAAGTTACCTCAATCCATACACAGTTACAGACCCCACCGAAAACATCTCCCTAAACTTAGTCACTGGGGTAGGGCTTAGGTGGGGAAGATTTCCTGCTACATTAAAGGATAGGGGGGACAATGACAGTCAAGATGGAAAGAGGAACTAAAAACTATCCAGTGTAGCTGGAGCATAACTGGATAACCCCAATAAGGAAGACACCACTAAGCACTGTTGTCTTGAACAAAGATTCCCTTCACAGACATTGGTCCTGCTGACTAGCGTCTATCAGAAGAACTGGCATAAAAGGCAGTTACTTCCATAGGCTTTCTGAACACCAAACTCACACAACAAACTGCCTTCTTAGCATCCCCATGTGTATGTCACATAGGCACCCCAGGACTGTCCTGTCTCAACTGTAACTCTTCATTCTCCCTCCAGTTATCCCTGTCTCACTAAATGGCATATGCGTCCATCTAGACACATCTCGAGAGAAAGAGTAATTCAAGAGGCAGGCAGGGAGCTGGGTCGGGCCAGGATGTATTGGTTATGGGTTAAAGTTATGAGTTTTGAGAAGTAGGGGAGTGCCATGACCTGATTTGTGTTTTAATCATATTCTTCCCCTGGATGTCATGGGGGTCAGTGGATTCAAGAGAAACAAGACAACAGAGGAGCAACCAGTGAATAGACTGTCCAGGCTACCAACACTAATTGCTGGGCCAGAGTTGTGGTGGTAAAGTTGGAGAGAAATGAGCCATTCAAGTTATTTTCCTGGAAGTAGAATTAATAAGGTGTGGGGATTAATTACATGTATAGGGACGAGGGAGAAGGATATCCCAAGGATAGATCCCCAGTTTCTGGCACAGGCAATTAGATGGATGCATATGCCATTTAGTGAGACGGATAATTAAGAGGGAGAGTGAAGAGTTACAGTTGAGACAGGACAGTCCTGGGGTGCCTATGTGACATACACGTGGGGATGTGTAGCTTGTTGTGTGAGTCTGGCATTGAGAAAGCCTATGGAAGTAATTGCCTTTTATGCCAGTTCTTCTGATAGACGCTAGTCAGCAGGACCAATGTCTGTGAAGGGAATCTTTGTTCAAGACAACAGTGCTTAGTGGTGTCTTCCTTATTGGGGTAGTTAAAAAAACAGGGACCCTTCCTGGAGTCAGAAGGCATGGGCTTGAATTCCACCTCCACCTCCACCACTTATTAGCTACATGAACGTGGGCAAGTTGTATAAATACCACTTTCCCTCTCAGCAACCTTCAATGGCTTCCTACTGTCCAAAGAATGGCATCAGAATTCATTTTCTAAGAGTAAAAGGAAGGTTTTCTGTTTCTTAAATCTGCAACTCCCTGGCCTTTGTTTTTAAATGGCCGCACAGCTCTTTCTGAAACAGGGACCATGTTTAAAGAGAAGAGCTGCGCTATGAAGCTTGATGCTGTTGCTGCTGCCCTGGCATCCTCTGTGCATGAACTTAACCAGGTTTGTAGATCAAGGGCACCTCCTTTAACCTTTAATTTTGTCTGTCTTCCTCATTCCTCTAGGAGTTACTACAAGAGCTGAAGCACCTCAAAATTAAAGTGGAAGAGTTAGAAAATGAACGGAATCAGTATGAATGGAAGCTGAAGGCCACTAAGGTAAAAGGTGGTTCTGATGCTCATGGAGAGGGCATGGAGGCCCTGTGGGGAGGGTCTTTGTGGAAACTTGGGTTTCCAGTAGCCTAAGTTTGAAAAATGCAAATCATCCCTCCTGTGTGGGCATGCGACAGTGCCCACATAGTGCAGCAGACAGATTTGATCCAGAAACACTCCTCATGGGGAGAGCCTGCCAGATTATTAGCTGCTAAAGTGTAGTAACTTAGTCTCCCTCTCACCGCACCTCACAGCTCCTAGCTGAAGTTGGGCCAGGAAGGGGCTGTGAGTGAGCGGGAGAGAGTGTGTGTGAGCGAGTGAGCCAGTGATTGGCAGCCAGCCGGTGATGAGTCAGTCCTAATGCAGATGAAGGTCAGCATTCTGTGGGGTGCTTCATTTTAAATTTAGCAGTTCCTTTAATGATCTGTTTCTCAAAAAATAGGCATGCTTTATTTTTGGCAATGAATATAGTCCTAAAAATGATATAAACTTTGAATTATTTTTCCATCAAGTCATGTCTCTATTAAACTTGGGAGCTTACTATTTAAAGGACACCAAGAATAAATTCTTTTTTCCCCTTCCTTCCTTTGTTTCTTCCTTTTTTTCCCCCTATACTAGTTGAAGTGCAGAGATTAAAACTAAAAGGCTGAATTAAGCCCATGAATTTGGGCCTGCACATGGTATTTAAAAATGTCAAATTAGTTATTTAAACATTAGGAGATATCACATTAAAATACAGTTAGGCTTCTTTTGCAGGTTTGGAGGGTGGGGGGAGGAAGCTCTAACAACCCTGGAGCACATTCCTGCTTGAGGGAGCCTGGGCCGAGGCTGCCCCAGAGGGTAAGCACACACCTGTCTCTCCCTACAGTCTCTGCAGTGCCACCGAGGGGGTTACCAAATGGTCCCTGTAGTCATTTTAATTTCTGCTTCCTATTAGAGTTTTTTAAAATACTTCTTATTCGAGGGGGTTACCAAATGGTCCCTGTAGTCATTTTAATTTCTGCTTCCTATTAGAGTTTTTTTTAATACTAAGAGCTTTCTTAATGTCTAGTCTGTATTTTTACTTTTTCTACAAGTTAATTGTTAATGATTATAAAAACAACACTCATTATAGAGAATTTTCAAACCATAAATAATTAAAGGAATAAAAAGCACTCATACTACCCAGGATCTCCCATTGTTAATATTTTCTTCCAGTTATTTTTTCTTTCTTTCTTTTGGGTTTCTCTCTGTGTCTCTGTCTCTGTCTGTCTCAATTTCTGGTATTGGTTATTTTATATACAATTTTATATCGTGCTTTATTCATCTAAAATTTTATGATTTCCCATGTTATTAAAATAAAATGCTGAACAAGATGTTAATTTCTATACAATATTCTAATGTATAAATGTAAAATAATTTGTTTCACCATTTTACAGATGATGAAACTGAGACACAAAGAGATTAAGTAACTTTCCCAAAGATCTTATGGCTAGTCAGAACCAACTGTGGGCAGTCAGAGCCATCTCTCTACTGGTCTGTTATCTGAGTAGGACTTTGTATGTGCTATGCTGGACAGTCACCAGTTTTAGAAGCATTATTTTTGTCTAGTAGCTCAGAACCTTCCACGAAGGTGCTCCAATCAAGCAAGTCCTGTCTTGGTGAAACCTTTGAAGTTGTGCATACCACCCTCTGTGTAAAACCAAATAACTCTTTTTAAATTTCTTTTAAATTATCTAAGTTCTTTGCCTCGGCATGTAGACTTTTGAGATGCTAAAGGTTATGTAATAACTGCCAGGTTTAGAGCTCCTTCTGTGTGCCAGAATGAACCAAGTCCTCTGCACACATTTTCTTATTTAATTCATAAAATAACTCAGGTATATTTTATTCTTCTCATTTTACTAGTAAGGAAACAGAGGCTCAGGGTAGACAGGTGACGTTCAGATCTGGGTCTGTGTTGTTCCCATGCTCCCACATTCTCATGCTCTCTTTCCTATATCATCATGATTCCCTGCAGTGAAATCCTGCACTGCTTTTGGAAGTTCTTCAGTTTTCTGCTTAAGGCTTCTCAGTCCCTACAGTAGTCTGTTTTAGTGTTGCCGTAACAGAATACCTGAGACTAGGTAGTTTATAAAGAACAGAGGTTTATTTGGCTCATGATTCTGGGACAGCTGCATCTAGCATGGGCCTCAGGCTGCTTCTGCTCATGGTGGAAAATGGCAGGTAGCTGGTAGGTACAAGCAGATCACATGGTAAGAGGAAGCAAGAGAGAGAAAGAGAGAGAGAGGAGATGGCAAGGTCTTTTTAAACTACCAGCTCTCATGGGAAGTAATGAAGCGAGAACTCACTACCCCCAACCTCCAAGGACAGCATTAATACATTTGTGAGGGATTCGCCCCCATGACTCAAACAGCTCCCAACACTGCCACATTGAGGGATCAGATTTCCACATGAGTTTTGGGGGGACAACACATCCAAACTCTATCAGTCCCTAAAGGTGATTCATCTTCCAGTGCAGCAGCAGTACGGCATGGTCCCTGGGTTTCATGAGGCACAGCACTTGCAGGGACCGAGATCTCCTGGCTGCCAGTCTGCATGGCTGTCTCTGACCTCTTGCCACACAACTCTAGCTTTGGTGGCTGTGGAAGTGGTGGCAGTAGCATACTTTGCCCTCACAATCAGGTAAAGGGTCTCTGGCCTGTTGGTGGCCTTCCCAGCTGTGGGGACAGGTACCACTCTAAAAATAGCAGATACGTAGTTTCTGACCTATTCTGTAGAAATTGGCACAAGAGGATTGGGCCTGGTCACTTGTCCGTAGGGTTCATAGTACGTAGATAGATGATCTCACCCAGAGGCAGGCCTCAGAGAGACATGAACTCATAGTGCCAGGGGCTGGGCTCTGTCTCAACAGGCTCACATCACTGAAGCCTAACCGTGGGACCAGCAGACAAGCGTCAGGCGTCCAGATTCCTAACAGACACCAGCACCCATCCTATCTGCAGAGAAAGGGAGAGATGGGCTTGGAGTGGTGCAAGAAAGGTTAAGAGAATATGTTCCAAGGGTAGTCTGGCCCTTGTAGAAATGAGAGGCATTTGGGTTGAGCATCCCAAAGCTCAAGTTTTCAGAAGCCACTGTCACCATTTATCATAAGCCCATGGGCACGTAGGGCCCTGAGTGAGCTAGAAAAGCTGCTCCATGGCTGCATGTCTCAGCAAGCAGTTTGGCACAGACAGACCCAGCTCTCTGGCCTCTGTGGGTGGAGACCAGAGTGAGGGGCAGTGCTTCATAGCGAGCTTTAAAGTGAGGAAACCCTACTGCTTGTCATCTCTTTTTCCTTTACTTGGTTATCTTTGTCCCATTTGGAGGATGTTAGGAGAGGTTTAATCAGAAACCCTCAAGGTGGGCTCTGGGAGCCTGAGCCCCATAACAGCGGCACTCATCTGTCCTATTAACTCAGAAGCAGAGAGGCGGAAATGGGAGGAGCCCCAGGCAGGCCAGGGTTTGCATTCCGTTCTGGTCACTGAGTAGCTCTGTGACTTTAACACTGACTCCTGTACTACTCCTGTTTTCTTCCCAGTGACTTGTGGAAATATTGCTTCCTCCCATGGCTTCTTGTTAGGATTAAGCAAGGTTTGACCTAAGAAAGCAGTGAGCACAGGGGCTGATACAGTGTGGGTGCCCAGTCAGTGTGCTGGAACTGAACGCAAGGCTGCCCAGCAGAGGAGTCACCAGCAGGACCAGTGTTCATTTGGTTATTTGAGGTTGTTCAAAGATTAACTTGGACCTCTGTGGGAAAGGACAGCTCATGTCACAATCTTGAGGACTGAAGGAGGGACATGATTGGGCTACCACATGGGGAGGGGGTGGACAGAGTAGAAGCCTTTTCTGTGTGTTCCATTGACTGACTTAGGGGACAGTTCTTAACCCCTTTTTTATTTGGTTTGATGCTCTGAGAACTGAGCTGATTATCCATAAGGGAAGGAATAACGAGAGGAGTAATAGTAATAGCATTTATTGAGCACTTAACATGTCCTAAGTATTGGGCTAAGTTGTTCATAACCACTATCTTACATAATTCTCACTGCACTTCCCATGAAGTAGGTGCTATTTTTCTCATTTTGTAGATGAGCTGAGATTCAAAAAAGTTAAGTTGCTTGCCTAAGGTGACCCAGCTTGGAAATGAGAGAATCTGGCCAGGTTTGTTTGACTCCAAAGCCAAGGTGCCTCTTGAGATGGGTCCTACACGGATTTTCTAATGAGTATGAGAAGGCATGCACAATAACACCTAGTGCTGTCTTTGAAGTTTAACCTGCTGTACTTAGTGGAGACATGGAAACCATCCAGTGCAGCTGCCCGTGTATGCATATATGAATGTGTGTGTGCGCTTGTGTGGCTCTCTGCTTACATGCTTTTTTTGCAAAAGCATATATGTTAAGCATACCTGAATGTTTGTATGAGGGTACTTCAAAAAGCTCATGGAAAAATAGAATTAAAAGATAATATGAATTTCTTCATGGACTTTTTGAAGTATCCTTATATATGTGTATATGTGGCTGAGCATGCACACATGTCTGGAGTTTGGGCAGAGGCAGTGACTATTCCCAAAGGGTGGGAGAGTGATAAGGGAGGGAGCCCTTGGCTCACCCTTTATCCACCAGTAGTGATTTGATTTCTACTGTATTTCCTTCATGGGCAAAAATGAAAGCTGCATGAACTTGTTACAGCAGTGTTATCTAAGTGCTGTTGCATGAATATCTTGGGAGAAGAAAAACCAAGTCTCAAAAGAGAATATCCCCCTGTGCACCAAGGGCAGCCCTCTCATTGCACACAATCTCAGCTCCTTGGGCCTCACTGGTATCTGGGCCTTACAGGGCAGGGAAGAGAAAGATAGTCAGGTAGGAGGATGCAGAGGAAGGAGCAGGTTGATGATCAGAGCTGTGGACAGGGCCAGAATGGCCAGGAAGAGTGAGTTCATTCAGCAGAGTTCCACCTGCTGGGGAGGGCCGCAAGCCCCTCTAACTACTCACCTCTACTCTTAATGTGTCATAGGGCCCAGTGGGCTCTGGGCTCTGACACAAGGCACTTCCAAATGGTTTGGCAGTTTCTCTAACCTGGTAAGATTCTCTGTTGCTCTTCCAGGCTGAGGTAGCCCAGCTGCAAGAGCAGGTAGCCCTGAAAGATGCAGAAATTGAGCGTCTACATAGCCAGCTCTCCCGGACCACAGCCCTCCACAGTGACCATGCAGAGCGAGGTAACTGGCTTGATTGTAATGGGATGCAGTTGTCCTGGGCTCTGGGCCCACTCTAACAAGAGAGCATGTGTGTCTATGAATGAATGTGTGCATGCTTATGTGAGTAGTCATGCTTTATTAGTCCATTTCTGTTGCTTATAACATAAATACCTGAAACTGGGTGATTTATAAAGAAAACAAAGTTTATTGCTTACAGTTTTGGAGGCTGGAAAGTCCAAAGTCCAGGGAACATGTCTGGTCGGGGTCTTAGTGGTGGCGACAGTGACCTAGGGGTCTCACATGGCAGAAAATGGTGGAGCAGAGAGAGAGAGAGAGAGAGAAAGATAGCTCCTCATGTACTCTCCTTTTAAAGCCCTCAGAACCATTCCCATGACCACCATTATTAATCCTTTCACTATGGCATGGTCCAACAATCTAATAACCTCTTCAGGGCCCAACCTTTCAATTACCATGATAGGATTTCCCAGCCTCAGTAGTTACAGTGGGAATAAAGCTTTAAATATATGGATTTGGGGAACATAATTCAGTCAATCCACAGCACATGCTAATATGCACTTACATGTGCGTATGTGTGCAAGCATGTCCCAGTGAGTGGATACACACGTTTGCATGTGCATGTGTGTGCGCATATGTGCACACAAGCCTTTAAAGCTTAGCTCTATTTAGAATCATTGCCATGGACTTCTCCCCTAACCAGAAGTTTCAGCTCTGAAGGCTTTTCTCAGATGCAGTGTTAATTGAAACTCTGCACAACCACTTCTGGAGCTTTTACTGAGAATGTAGGAAATACCTGACTCTTTTATTTGATTGAAATGCCTCGTTTCTGTGTCATCATCAAAGGGAAGGCTTTAGCAATTCATTCAGTCATTTCATGGATGCCTGCCTGACACTTGTACAAGACCCCGAGGTTACAGAAACAGATCAGTTCTTTCTCATGCTTTAGATCTCAACTTAAATGTTTCCTCTCAGAAAGACCTTTCCTTGCTACCCTACCTCAAGTAGATCCCTCCAGTTCTATTATTTTCTAACTTGGCATCCCACTTATTATAACTTATCGGTGTGTTATTTTGGGAGGTTTCATGGCACAGACTGTCATCCCTACTCTAGGGCAGAGACGGTATCTGTCTTGTTTAAGAACATATCTGCAGAGCCCAGCACAGTATTCAGCCCATGGTAGGCTCCTAAGAAATATTTACTGATTAAGTGAAAGGATGGTGAATGGTTCCTGAGGAGTTCATGTCTTGTTGGTTAAAAATAGAGGATAAATTCTCAAATACTCTTTTTAACACATAGTTTATATTTGTGGCTATTTGCCACGTATATAAAATGATCACACATCTTCCATATTGTCCAATTACCACTAGGCTGCCGAGCAATGCTGGAGGTCATATAGTACTATGGATTAGCACCACTACCTGCTCTCATCTTGGCCTCAGCACTGCTTAGCATGTGTCCCCAGCTGGGGTGGGGAAGCCATGCAGCCATGGATTAGGCCAGAGAGGGAAATTAGTGACCAGTAGTGATCAGCATGCTCATCCCTCCCCTAGCCTTTCTCAGCATCTTCCCAAGCCTTTAGGTGTGTCACCTACCTGCCACATTGTACCTGTGGAGGTAGGGTCCTACTAAAATATCCTGGATTATCTGATATGCCAAACCTGGGTAGAGAGCACCCCATGTCATGACTTTTAGGCCAGGCAGCCTTCCCCCTGTACCCCAAGCTTCCCCATAGTCCAAGCCTTCCAAACCCTACCCCATGCCATCATCAGGTGCCTCCTGGAGCTGATCCGTTGGTCATTTGCTCAGGTTGGGTTCTGACCAATGAATTGAGGTATGCCAATCTTTATCTGGAGCTTGCCACCCTGCCCCTGGAAACTGAGCTACAGAGCTGATGTCAGCCTCCAGGAGCCTAAGATAATGAGCAAGAACTCTCCACTTTACTCTGAAAAAGAATCCCCACAGCTACTTACGGAAAGTCCATAGATCTATTGTTGCTATTCTTATTGGATGTCACAAGCATCCCCAAAGGAAACGGTATACCTATACTTTACTTTACTCTGAAAAAGAATCCCCACAGCTACTTACGGAAAGTCCATAGATCTATTGTTGCTGTTCTTATTGGATGTCACAAGCATCCCCAAAGGAAACGGTATACCTATACTTTTTTTGTTCCTGTCTCCTGTACTTTTCTTATGTAGACATTCCTGTTCCCTTTGCAGTACCCAGTTTGGGGATAGGTATAGTTTCCTGTTTGGAAAATCTGGGTATGTGCCAATTCCTAGACCTCTTTGTATCTGGCAGAATGACCTCCAGCTTCTTTAGGCATTGGCCTTTGACCTGACTCTCAGACCAGTCTGGGAAGAAGTCAAGAGAGTCCCTATCGGATCCAAAGTGAGAGAAGGCTATGGGTTTCCCACCATATTGACAATTCCCACAGATTGACACAGATCCCTCAGCCCACAGTGATATTCTATAGGTTTATGATGAAATAAGATTGTTTTTCCCTTACCCATAGAGTTTGTTTTAATAAATTTATAGATGTGTCTAAAGATTTGTTAGTCAATTCTGACTGTACCATTTAAAATTAAACCAAGTACCCTACTCTTTTACGTAATCACTTTTTCCCCAGACTGCATTCAGCTGTAGACTTTTTTTTTTCCCCTCATTTTACATTCTTCTCTGCTTACAGTCTGTGAAATTGTATGATTTTCTCCAAAACCCATCAGCAGCCCAGGTACATGCCTATTGGAGTTGTAAAGGATAAGAATGTCTCTATTCTTAAGAGATGTTGGTTATGAAAGATTTTGGTGTTCCCCTGTGTCACCTTTGAGTAAATGGCATTATTTTGCCCATAAATATCTATAAAGAGAAGGCAAAGTACTAGGTCTCTTTATTTGGTAGTCCAACAAATATTTAATGAGACCGACTATACCAGGCACCATCCTGGGCTCTTTAAATAAATAAATGAGCCCACATTCACTTGGAAACTCTTCAAGTTTGCACTTGGGGAGCATCTTAGCATGCATTCATAGCTCTTTGCATTTATATAAATGCTTTCTATACCAAAATTCTTGTAGACCAAGAAATTCAGCGTCTGAAAATGGGGATGGAAACTTTGCTTGTTGCCAATGAAGATAAGGTAAGATGGTCATTGGGCACCCTGTCCTTCCTCTGCTGACATCCATGGCTGTGTTTGGTCCCTGCTGGCCTCTGATACTCTGGACAGGGCCATGCCCATCAAGGCATTGGCACAAGAATGTATCAGGAGAATGGCCTCTGCCTCCAAGAGTCTTGGCCTCAGCTACCTGTTTTTGACTATGATGCCTGGGAAGTTTGCCTAAATGGAATCTCCCAAAAGCACTCAAATCCCTGCCTGTTCATACTGGTCTGGGGAAAAAATAGCTCTGTGATTACTACCAATATCATAGCTCCTGCTGAGACTCCTAGCAAAACTCAGGAAGAGTTCCCCAATCTTGGATGTGTGTGATCTGGTGATAGAAACATCACAGGACACTTGGAACAATGCAGTGCCTCAGTTTACCCTGCTGCCTTACATTTTTCCCATCTAATTCCTGCATAATCATAAAATAGTCACCTGTATAAATACAGAGCCCCTACCTGTTACAAACAGCGTCTCTGGGGATCAAGTCCTTAATTTTGCCTAAGGTCAGATAACCAGTAGATAGCAGAGCCAGGGTTCATACCCAACTCTGTCTAACTCCAGGATTCATGTGGCCTCCCAAGTCCCTAGGAGGAAAGAAATGCCGTGAAAGAAATGATCTCTCTGGGAATTTCCTTTGTTGTATAAGGTGTCTCAAACTCCTAAGGAACAAGTCAGGATATTAGGATAAATGCAATATAGCAGCTTTATTTTAGTCCTTTATTTGTGTAGCTCCACAGAGCAACACTGGACCAGGAGGTGGATTTCAATGACTACTTCATTAGGACAGGGAGTCAGTGAGTTTCATGCTTCTGAAAATGTTTAAACCAGCTCCATGAATGGCATGTCAGACATGGATTGTTGACTCAGCTTTAGGTAGAGTCGTTGAGTGCCTGCAGTTAGCAGACCAATGAGACCCCACCTCTACAGGATGGGCTCTGGACACACTTTCCCTGTGGGAGTGTGCCATAGGTTCTGTTGCTTTGCCTCCCACAGATTTGTCACCTCTTTTCCGCTGGGTGACAGAGTCACCAAAGATTACTCAAAGCCCATCTCTTCTGAGCAGTGAGAAGCCCAAAAAAGGGGTTAATCTCCTGGAACCCTCAAGATAGAGGCATTCCTTCCATTTGGGAAATTAACCACGAATTGGGGGTTCTCTTTATTCTTCAGACTGGGAAGTTACAGGAAGAGAACATAGGTGGGGTTTTTGCTAAGTATAGTTTTAAAAGTTTAACAATAGAAGCTGGTAACATTCAGTGAGACAGGCAAGGTCACATTCCACGTAAGACAAGCAAGGTGACCTTCAATAATGCAATTTGCAACAAAAGCTTTATTTTAGCAAACATTCTCTTCTTACAGCAATTTCCCAGCATCTTTACATATCAGTCAGTAGCCTGTCTGTCTTTGAGCCAGAAACCTTGCTGTGTTACAATTCTTTATCTTACAAGAGAGACTATAGCCTGGGGAAAATTTCCTGTGTTTTGCAAGGTCAATATTTGAAACTGCAAGGCCTTGGAAAACCAGGCCCTGTGAAGTACATTTGCTTTATGCATACTCCACAGGTTCCACATGGGCTTTCTTCTCAGTGTGCCCAGAACATAGCCTGGCCCCAAAAATGAAATTGTCTGAAATACCAGTGGTGTTAATCTAAATCTGCTCTCACACCCTGATAGGACCGTCGGATTGAGGAGCTTATGGGACTATTAAACCAGTATCGAAGGGTGAAGGAGATCGTGATGGCAACTCAAGGTAAGAGCAAGGATCCTACCATTTTCTCCTGAAGATATTCCATCTACTATATTAAATCCAGGGGCAGTTCTGCTAGAAGATTCTTTATCTCCATTTGGAGAAGATCCCCTACTGGGAATGGAGCAGATTAGACTGTCCTAGATGATGGGGAATTGGCAGCTTTGGATTTCCAGAAATTTTATCAGATGGTGGTAAGCTCAGAACTTCTGGGGACTATCCAGATCACCAAGAAAATAAAGCCTTCAACTTTAGCCCTTGGGAATTCCCATGCTTGGAGGGTCTCCTATGCATCTTCCTAGGAGTACTTCTTAGAGGCAGTGAATGGAGTCAAAACTGGATCAAAAATCAACTCAGTACTCTCATTGGGTATTAGAGCTTGTCCAGCTACTAGAGAATCTAAAGCTTCCCAGCAGACTCAGAAGGCATTCTGGGAGCCTTCTTTGAGTTGCTGGGTACCTGGGATACTGCAGGAAGTCACAGGACAGGGAGAGCTGGTGTGTTTCATATTTGCCACCCAGACTGAATACAACATGCAGGCAGCATTGGTGATCTCATGGGCATGGTGGTGCAAATGTCAAGCTGCCTTTCTTGTTGTTCATGCCATTGACCTGGGCTTCCATCAGAGATCCTGAGGAAGCAGCTATTTCACAAGAGACAGCTGCTTTGAAGGATATTCAGGAAACTCTAATTCTGGCTGAGCTTTTGCCTCTTCTTGTGAAGAAGCCAAGCCTCCCCTGGGGTTGTGGCTGACTAGTCACTGCCCAGGGCCTCTGCCAGCCCCTAGACATAGGTCATAGCCCTCTTTCCTCTAATCTTTTGGGATCTTGGGTCAAGTCACTCTCAGGGTCTGATTGCCTGTGGCCAAGGAGTGAGAAGTTTGGAGGCAGGGTGTGCTTACCTCTGTTCTGCAGATGAGCTTTGACTTTGAAGTGTCCCTCAGGACAGCCCTTGCTTAGATGCCCTGAAGAATCCTCTGAATCACACTCTTAATGTTCCTTTATGTATTGTTTAGTCTTTCTTAATAAAGGAGAAACAGCGTTAGGATTTTGTGGTACAGTTTTAAGTTTATGAACAATTCACACAATAGTGATCACCCTTTTGCACTAATGCTACCAGGGCCTTCAGAGAGATCTCTCTCAATCAATACAGAAGAACTGGAGGGAAGTTTCAGAAAGTGGAACACTGCAAATAAAAGCCCCGAAGAATTATTTAAACAGGAGGTACTGTGTTTTCACCCATGATATAGGGTTTTATCATGTCCTCAGAGCTTGCCCTGAGCTTGGAGGATCTGGTGAGGCATGTATCAGGAACACATCCTGATCCAGTGAATAACTACATTAATGGAGTGGCCCTCAGTCTTTGGGGAAAGAATGGAAGGGAGCAGGAGCCTGTGTTCTGGTTGGCAGACAGCATGGTGGATACTGGAACTTTCAAGGATGGGAAATTTCCTTTTTAATTGGGTATTTTGTTTATTTTTGTCTTTACTCTCTGGAACGTTAGCATAGACCAAAGGTGGTGTTTGTTTTATTTACCAGGTTTCTCCAGAGTCTGCAATAANACTAGAGAATCTAAAGCTTCCCAGCAGACTCAGAAGGCATTCTGGGAGCCTTCTTTGAGTTTCTGGGTACCTGGGATACTGCAGGAAGTCACAGGACAGGGAGAGCTGGTGTGTTTCATATTTGCCACCCAGAGTGAATACAACATGCAGACAGCATTGGTGATCTCATGGGCATGGTGGTGCAAATGTCAAGCTGCCTTTCTTGTTGTTCATGCCATTGACCTGGGCTTCCATCAGAGATCCTGAGGAAGCAGCTGTTTCACAAGAGACAGCTGCTTTGAAGGATATTCAGGAAGATCTAATTCTGGCTGAGCTTTTGCCTCTTCTTGTGAAGAAGCCAAGCCTCCCCTGGGGTTGTNGCCTGTGTTCTGGTTGGCAGACAGCATGGTGGATACTGGAACTTTCAAGGATGGGAAATTTACTTTTTAATTGGGTATTTTGTTTATTTTTGTCTTTACTCTCTGGAACATTAGCATAGACCAAAGGTGGTGTTTGTTTTATTTACCAGGTTTCTCCAGAGTCTGCAATAATGCCTGATACCCAGTAGAATTCCACAAATATTTGTTGAATGAATGAATGTGTCTTGCTCATTTAGAGGGATAACTGCAGCTTCTCAAGTGATATATTTCTGCTTCACAGATATCTCCTCCAACCCCTAAAGCCAGCACAAAGATTTTCCTTCTCTTCTCTTTTGTTTGTTTAAAATCTGATGCTATTGTATGAATCTCTCTGGCAAAATACAAATGAGCAAACAAGCTCATAGACATAGACCTTAGGTGGAGGGGAGGGGCTTAAGCCTAGGGTCCAAAAGATTGGTGAAACTCCAGAATGGTCAAACTAAAAAGGATCTTAGTGGTCCAGCTCAATCCTTTTAATGAAGAGAAGATCAAAAGTGTCATCCAATGACCCAGTTATCAAATAAGAACAAGCACCCCAGATTGCTGGCAGTTATAGAATAGCGGTAACCAAGACTTGTCGATACCTCTGTGTCATCACTACAATGAGCATTATATGTGGCTCACCTCATTTATTCCTCATGACGCCTCGTTGGGATCCTTATTTTATTGTGATGAAACTGAAGTGCACAGATGGTAATTTACTCTAGGTCACATTGCAAGTAGGTAGCAGAACCTGGACTTGACCCTAGGTCTCTCTGACCAAAAAGCCCAGGTACTTAACAACTGTGCTATATGTAAGGGTTCTTCCTATAGTAGACCAAGAAGACTCTGGGCTCTAGAGAAAAGTGGTGCTCTTTGCAGTCTGTGCAATTCTGGAAACATAGGACTGTGTTCTTTCATGCCACTGTTAGCTCATGGTCACCCCATCTGTGATGCTCTTTCCTTACCTGCCTTCTTTGTGGCTCATTCTCATTTCTCAAGATTCAGCTCAAGCACCGTCCCTTCTGAAGCCTTCCCAACATTTCCACCAGCAAGGGGAGCCCTTCCCTCCTCTCTCTTCCCATGTTATGTTATAGGAGTCGATACCATAAGGACCTGTTGCATTGTTCTTTTATACTGGTTCACTTATCTGCCTCCCAGAGGTGGGG